TCTTGCTCAGGCTGGTCTCGAACTCCTGACCTTGAGCGATCCACCCGCCTCAGCCTCCCAGAGTGCTAGGATTACAGGCGTGAGCCACCGCGCCCGGCCACTAAAGTGAATATTGTTACCTCTGAAGGGTATAAAAGTTTTAGATCATAAACAAAAAGTTAACTAATCAGTGGTAACAAAATTTTTTTTTTTTTTTTGGTAAAGTCTTCCCTTAACACTTTATTTAAAAGAGGCTCCTCCTATCCACCCTGCTCCCCTTATAGTTGTTTCTTTCTTATTTTGACAATCTCCCCAAATAGAATGCCCACCCTTAAGATATGTCCTGAATCCTACCATTTGTGATGGTAGAGGATTTGTTTCATTCTCTGCCATATCTCTATTGTCTAGAAAAGTACCTGTGTTATAATTGGTTCTCAATACATAATTTGTTGAATGAATGAACGTATGTTTTCTGGTTCAAATCACAATTTTTTTTTACCGGTAACCGATTTGTTAATGCAAATTTGTCACAAACTATCTGAGATGCAAATACCCTACTTAGAATAAAGCACAAAATTCTGGAACAGGGAATATAAAAAATAATATAAAAATAAAAGCTCACATTTCTTTAATAAGTTATGTCAAGTTTTCCCCTGAAATGATTCTCTTTGCCTAAAAGGAATTGAATAGGGCTATGAATTGAATTAATTCCTTTCAATACCATATCAATTAAAAGCATAAATTGGGCCCACGTATAATAACAGATTGACTTTTATTTATAGAAAGGAGAATCAGTAATTATGAGATCTGTATTTATATGATCTATTTAGATTTATCATATGATATTTATAATAAAATCATAAGCATGGCCTCAGTTTAAAGAAAAAGAAGAGCCATACATGCAAGGCAAAATGATTTTGTTTTTATTATAAATCACACAGAAACATTTCTTTAAAGAGTTAGAGCCTTTGACATCACTGCCCAAGTGGTTACAATATTTCTGAGTCAATGAATAAGGTGATGTATGCATTATTGATAGAAATTTTGGAGCCGTAGTATATCAGCTACATATGGTTTGTGTTTGTTGTGTTTCTTATAGCTAGAAACTGGTGCCTGAAAGAAACCCCAATAAAAACGCCAGTAAATTCAACAGGAACAGACAAATTAATGGCAGGTGTCATTAGCCCTGAGAGGCGGTAAGTGTTCAGTTTTTTAGACTCTTTGATCATTAGTATATGTAACCAGATTTCCTTTTTCATATGTGTTAAACCTGATTAAGGTGAATCATCACACAGATTCTGTTGGAGACTGTGGGAATATCTGTCTGTATGAGGATGGTCTGTGGCTTTTACTAGACCTGTTGCCACTGCCTTCCTCATGGGGTGGAATTGTGAAACTGATCAAAAGTAGGACTGGCACCTTAACTTAAAGTACAGCAGGCTAGAAAGACAATGGCCCTCGCCCCAGGCATGTACTTCCCTTGCTGAGGCCCATCTTTCCCTATGCTCCTCTCAGTAGAGTATAGATAGCTACCAACAGATATTAGTTCTCCCAAATAGTAAAGATACTGGTGTTTGAGAGAAAACCCACTCCTCTTTGAAAAGTTCTGTAGCATAGATGACCCTTCATTGTCTTTTATAGCTATTTTTTTAAAGTGTGATCCATTTTGGTGACAGTTGGGAGAAGTAGAATGTAAACTGGTTATTAGATGATACTATGGAATTATTATTATTTTTCTTGACATGATATGGCATTGTGATTATGTAAGAAAATGTCCTTATTCATTGGAGATGTATACTGAAGTGTTTCAGAGTAAAGTGTCATGATATCTTTAGATGGGTTACTTTCACATAGCTTAGCAAATAAGTAATATATTTAATGTATTTATTATCCATATACATAGAGAAAGCAAATGTGTCAAAATATTAACAATTGTTGAATCTAGGAGGATATATGGGTGTTCATTGTACTGTTCTTTCAACTTTTCAAGTGTTTTTATTTGACACTTTATAAAAAGGAAGGGGAAAAATATTAACAGTTT